CCAACCTTTGCTGGTTTCGCCCTGCAGGTGCTGCACCATTTCAGCGTGAGTTTGTCGGAGGAGGAGTTCTTCCACCTCAGTTCTTATTTTGATGACAACACCACGGGGAAGATCTGCTACAACAGCTTCCTCTGGACGTTCCTCCACTGACCTTCATTCAGACGCCTCCAGCTGCTGCCACAGGCCTCCGGTTTACCCAACTTTGTTACGTTTGTAGGGTAATATGCACCATGAAGTTGTAGTGTTTCAGATTCTGGTCTCTTATTCTGTGAGAAAACATAAACTACAACGATACTGCAGCTGTAGTCAATGTTCTAAATGAATGAAACAGCTTGAAAACTGTCGTAAGTCGAGGCCTGTGGGTGAATATTTCCATCAGCACGGCCTGAGAACCTCTGCTGACTGACTGACAGCAGTCTTTATATTTGGATGACCCATCGTGTTGTTAAGACGTGGTGGAGAGTCAGTTCTGAAGCGCTCTACTCAAGTAAAAACTAAAGTTATTATACTTGAGTATCTTCATTGCGATGTATTAGACATGTTCTACATTACATTTAGTTTCAAAGCTATCATTACTAGACACTTTGCAGAATCAGAAACAATTCAAATATAATGAAAAAATAAGTGATGGTGTATAATTATACTTGCCAGCCGTATGTAAAGTAAATTAGCAGCTGGAACATTACAGTAAAATACATAAATACAGGTGGGTGACAGATTAAATCCCTTGAACCTGATAGAGAGCGGATCTCGGTGACTGGAGAAAAGCATCACTGCTAATGAATATACAGAAGTTTTCTGTGATCACCACATGTCTGTCCTTAATGAAGTGGTCTCTGCCAGGGTGACAATGTCTCTATCCTTTGGAAAGGAGGGCTCACTAATTGGTTTAAGTGTGAAAATGATGTGAATCTTATGATATTAGCTCTGCTGATGTCAACACAACTTGGGGGAGATTTTAGACTCAGTGCTGTCATATGGTGGCTCCTTTAACAAGACGCTTTCTGTTGGTTTTTCTCTTTACTGTGTCACCTGTCAGTTTATACTGTATTGAATAGGGCTCTTCTGTATAATGAGTACGTACAGGACCTTTACTAACACTGTGGTATTTCTACTTTCAACACAATAAAAGATCTGAGTACGTTTGTATTTTTCACATAGACTGCATATAAAGGAGACGCGTGTTGACCATGATGTCACCGGTTTGTGGGCGATCGTTGGCCAGTCACTACTTTGCTCTTCATCAGAGGAGTTGCCACCTGCTAGCTGTTTGAAGGAATGCAAAGTCAAGGCACTTCTACATTGGCTTCACTTTTTGGACCCAGTGGCCACATCAGTCTTTTACATGCATCACTTGGGAAGTGGAAGCTAGCCAACTAGGCTAATTAGGGTCCACTTGTGAAATAAAAGCGAGTTAGCTACCATGAAACACTTCTTCACATGCACATTATTTCAACACCTGCTGAGAGAAATTGCTCATGTTGTGTTTTATTAAAGTGAGATTCTCCTTCATGCATTCAGTGACTGTCAGCAGTCAGAGCGACGAGGAACAGCGTCACCTCAGCACAATGCTCGGTGTGGTTTCAGTTCCCACCAACACACATGTTGCCCCAAACAAATGACAATATGACCATCATTGTAAACTGTGAGTTACAGATGCCCTAAGAGGACATGTGTTTTTTTTGTTTTTTTTTTACAAGCCGTTTTCTCGAAATAATGAGATATTATCTCGTTATTTCGAGAGTTTGTTTTCCTGAGATATTTATTCATGATCTCGCGAGTTAGGTAAAGTTAGAAAGATATTCACAGATTCGCGGTTCCCGTGTCAATAAGTAATTAATGGAACATTGCTTTCAGAAAAACAACACTTATGTCTCAAGCCAGTTATGTAGACTGCAAGCTACAGCTCCATTTTAAACATTACGAGCCGCCCTTCGTACGCGATGACTTCAGTTGACTCCAGTGTGCTGTCGGCTCTGGCTCGATCGAGCAGGGACCGTCTACAAAGTGCAATACTGAAGAGAAATGCTACAAAAAAAATCAACAGTGTTGCCAAGGAATAGTGTAGGGTAAAATAAACCAACCCACACAACAGTCCATCCAGGCAGGTTATACTACCATAATTATTTGGGGAAAATATGGTTTTATGTAATTTTTTTGAATATTTCTGTCATAAAATGTGTCATAACTTTGCCTTTAAGATTGGAATAGGACCAACATCCCCTCACACACAATGGAGATCTTTTTGTTTATACTGCAACAATTATTTGGGGGAAATACAGTATCATGTAATTTTTCTTTTTCTTTAATTTTTATCTTTACCTAAGTCGCGAGATCATGAATAAATATCTCAGGAAAACAAACTCCGTTTTCTCAAAATAACGAGATGATATCTCGTTATGTCGAGAAAATGGCTTGTAAAAAAAACATGTCCTCTTAGGGCTTCTGTAGTTAGTTCCAAAACACAAGATTAAAAGTTCTTATTTTAACAGTTAAAATAGATTCACATGTCCAACTGTGTCAACGATTAAAATAACTGAACTGAACATTGTTAATGGTTTTGATGCACAATCTCATATTATGTGTACATGGCCTTAAATAAATATACCTAAATAGTTAGCATCGTTGCCTCGCGGCTAGAAGGTCGCCGGTTCACGTCCCGGTGAGGACACCTGGGATCTTTCTACGTGGAGTCTCCATGTTCTCCCCGTGCAGTGTGGGTTCTCTCCAGGTTCTCGGGCTTCCTCCCACAGTCCAGAAACATGTTGAGGTTAATTGGTGATTCTAAATTGTCTGTAGGTGTGAATGTGAGCGTGCTTGGAGGATTAAGTGGTGTATAGATGATGGATGGATGGCCTTAAATACATTTCTATGTGACATTATCACAGATTCTAACAAAGAAACTTAAGAAGGGGCCTTCAGCTCATTTTTGCCCCAAGACCCACAGATGGGTTAACGTGGCCCTGACAGCAAGACTTTAGAATTTCAAATCTGATCTGCCTCTGTTGTGACAAATGGACTCATCAAGGGAATTGAACTGAGAAACATGAAAAAAACTAAGATTAACAAGGAGAGATTGATAAATGATTTGAGAGTTGTTCGCTGTATTCTCCATCCTCTGTCGGCTGCCTGACTGTTTGACACTGATTTGTGTTCCAAAGCCAATCAAATAAAGTGGCTTTTTAACAATGCAGACGACGAGGAGCAGCGGGAGCGTCTTTTCTTTGGATGGGAAGTGTGAAGTGAGATGGATGACAAGGAGATGGGGAGGACGTCTGTCATTCATTCAAAGGAAACGCAAGCGCAGCAAGATACACAGGAGCACTCGGAGAGGAGAGAAAAGTGTAGAGAGCTGGGAATCATTATCTGAGGAGGCAAAGAGAAGGACAAGCAGATGGAAATGGGAAAAGGATGATCAGAACTGAGAAAAGGAGCTCAGCATTGTGGTTGGAGAGGCAGAGTGAGAAAAAAGAGGGAGGGAGGGAGAGAGCTGGAGGAAGACAAGAGCATATGAAAGCTAGTTGTATTAATGGCAAAGTAAAAAGCTGTCCGCGAATAAATTACCCGGTCTCCCCTGGGATTACTAATGTAATTATTTGAACGAGGGTTCTTATTAGAATGTGCAGAGGTGTGGAAGACCTGCGGAACAAAATGGGAGACAGAGACGGAGCGGCGAGGGTTTAGCTACTGGAAATTAACTCGCTGCTCTGGGCTCTATAATTGATACGAGACACAGATATCTTTGATTGGAACAAAAGGAAAGAACCAGGACGAGAAAAGTTTCCTTGCTGCCTCAGTTTTTTTTCTCTACAACGAAAGAAGGAGAGGAGAGACAAAAGGGATGAGAGAAGATGGAAATAAGGAAACATGATCCACCGGTCACAGATAAGGTTTTATTCAATCGGTGAAGAATCTCAGAACCAGCAGAACCTTTATGGTTTTTAAGAAAGAAAGGTATTTTACATTTTTGTCTCCAGGAGCTGTTGGGTCTTCATTTTCTTATTATACAGTTAAAAAAAATGGAAAAGTCCCCAACAACAATGGCATAAATACACCACCATATGAGCAGCTTTATTCCAAAATGCTATACATCTATTTAAAAAAAAAACAACCCAAGGTTCATAACCATCCAATACTGTTGAAATTACTGTAGAAATTCACCAAGTAAAAATGCCACCAAGGACACAAGTTCCCTTCTTTTAAAAAGTACCACTGCAGTCTGCTTTCAAGTCGTAGCTGTCACTCACTCAGCCCGTCAAGGCTTTCCTTTTTTTTTCAAACAGTAAATATCTCATTTTGGAACAAAACTCTTCATATGCAGATTGTCTGAGTAGCAGAAGTCATTAACTCCTTTAAGCATGCCTCAAGAAATGAATCAAGAAATAGTACAGCACTTTTTTTTTTTTTTTCTTCTTCTTCTTGGATAAAACAGGAAACACAACACAGCTATTGAAGCAGAAGAGCATCAAAGGGAGAGACATCTAAATGAGGAGTGGAACGGGAAAATCGGACCAAACAGACAGCTTTTCATGAAACTTAGAGATGAAAGTTCCTCCCATCTTTTGGTTTTTAATAGTTCCTTTTATTCCTTTGTTGGAACGCTTTCCTTCTTGATGCTAATTAAGTTTGTGTTTTAAATGACGAGGCTGAGAACTCCCTCTTAGCGTCTGAACTACGCTCAGGCAGACGTAGCTGCTCTACGCTGCACATGTGTGGACCTTCCACTGGCTACATCCAGACCATGACCTCTAACCTGATCTACAGCATCCCACTGAAACCTTCCACGCTCTTTAGAGACCAACCTAACGATTGTGTCGGCGTTTCACAAACAACCGTCCCTCATTCTTCTGATCCTCCACGACCAGTCAGTGAGCTGGGACTGACGGGGCAACACTGAAAAGCTTTAATACACTCTAACTGCTCTAAAGGCACCATCTCTGCCCGTCCTCATCCCCTTCTGATGTGAAACATCTGCACCAAGCGTTGAGTTTCTTTTATTGCAGCCTGAAGCCGGATCAAACGAAACATGAACGGGCTGCTGCTTATCAGCTCTTCCTAGCAAACAGCCTTTATTTGTTCATGCTGGCCACATGTGCCTAATATTTTAATACTTGGGCTTTGTGCAGGTAGCAGTGATCCTGGACTGCAGC